CCAAGGGCGGAGGCGGTGGCGGCGGCGGCAGAGCCAGCGGCAGCTGCGATGGTGGAAGCGCAAGCTGCGAGTTCCTGAAGAAAGAGAGCGTGAAGGAGGGAAAGATCTCAGGGCTCGGTTTTGTTCGACGACCTGTGCACCCCGAACCACCTCTGCCCGAAATCCGACTGTCCGAATCCAAATCTGAGCACAAGCATTGGCTTGATCTGCCCAGCTTCAGGAGCGGCTGCTGCAAAGCCCAGTACGGAGGATCCTGAGGAAAAACGCACCCCAGGCCAGGAGCACTTCGATTGGCAGCTCTTCCTCTCCAATTAAAACATCGTACCCGATCTCTTCTGAGTCCGCAGCCAAATTCACTCTGTGTTTTTACCAGCAAGCTCGCAACAAATCACCTCGCCTCCACTGGCGGAGGGCCCGGAAACGGACATGGCCTTGGTACCGGAAATGCGCATTCAGATGCTGTGCCGGATTTCCAGGATGGACCCAATCCATTCGGCGCGAGGGCTGAAGCAATTCAGAAAAGTGCTTTCAGACCATGCCGTCCTGGTCCATCAAACTACCAGGAGCCCTTGCACCTAATGCATCGGAGGCACCGCGAGTCTCGCAGCTCGCTAATCGGAGGGGGATCCACCATCAACCTCCACTGGATATGTAGGGATTTTAGGCTGGAGGGCTTGGGATTCTGGGCTAGCTTGGAGCACGCACAGGATCCCACCAACACCGCATAGGAAAGCTCCGACTCTTTGATACTAGGACCCGCTCGAGTCTCCCTAGACGGAAGCCGAGGCCCAACTGAAGACCTTCGAAGCCTGAAGCGCAGTTCGTCTCCCTGGTAGCCACGTGCATTGTCAGCACAGACATCGCAAAAGAGCCCCGGAAACACTGGAAGCTTGCTGGAGGAAGAAACCTGATATATACATGCTGTAGTCGCTTAGATGCGGAGCACGAAGGAGAAGTGGCCCCCTGTCGCAGGACGACTCTTCAGCCCGAGACCCTGTGGAGGTTTCGCGCGTCCGTGGCGGCTGCCCGCGTGGCGGCACGACCGGGACGCTCGTTCTGGCACGGCCTCTCGTGAAGAATCCAAGTATTGTGTATGCTGGCTCAGCGATGGTGCGGTGAACCGTGCTTGCAACATTCTCTGTCGCAGTGGAAGTTGGAGCTTGGCTCTTAGAGGGAGTCTGAGTGGCCGTCCTGCCGGGCCTCATTCCACATTCAAGCTGCAACTTGCACGTGATGGGCCTGGCCTATGCGAAGGCTGTTGGCAGGCGTGACCTGCGCACTGGGGAATGCCTGAGAGGCTTCCGGCCCTATCGACATTCAACCGAAACTTGCCTGGACTGGCGCCGAGACCAGGGGGGGTCGGATCGGCGACGGCACCACGGGAGGCGCCGGCGCCTTCGCCGAAGTGGGGAGGGGTTTTGCTCCCGCCTGTCAGACAGACAAGAGCTCCCTTCCCGCGCATCTCATCGCAAGACACTGCTCAGGGAGTCTGAGGCTCTGTATAGGCAAAAAGAGTGACTGTGCAAAGCACATCGCACAGAATGACAGCTCACTTCAAGCGGGGCCGGGGCCTTGGTGCTGGGCCGGATGATGGGCTTCGGCTCCTGGCTCCCCGCTTTTGGGGCGCTTTGGCTTGGCTTCTCTCAGTGCCCTCTCCCCAAGCTGGTCACATCCGTCCGTCCCTTCAATTACCCCACAGTTCGCCACAGTTCGGCTCTGCTTCGGCTCATACAGGAAGTGTCAGGGAATACTGCTGCTACCCAGGTATCCTTCCTCACCCCCCTATGCCTAAACCCTAAACCCCGAATCCCCTCTAGAACCCTTCTGGCACCCCTCCACTGCAGTATCCCTTCCCCTCCCTCCCGGACCCCCCCCCTTCTAAAAAATACAAAACAACAAAACAAACAACACACACACACACACCCGCCTTTGCCTCGAGGCGCAGCCGTTTTGGCGCCTCCGGAGCATCTGGAGGCGCCTCAGTGCTCTGTTCGGGGGAAGCAGTTGTTTTAGTTTTACAATTCTCTTGATGTTTGTTTAATCCTGCATCATCTTAAGGACCCCCCAAGCGATGGGAATTCTGGTATGGGCAATGCAGGATTTATATCATCAACCGTAGCTTCATTTTCTTTAAACATCATGGAACATAAGAAAGCATAATGAAATAGTATGTAGTATCAAGCAGTGGCGCCAAAACTGTTGAAGGCTTTCGGACTTTGAGAGCGTTCAAAGCTTTCGGGTTTTGGGGTATTGGGGTAGAAGGCTTCCGAGGGCTTCCGAGCCAAGTTGCCATAGGAGTTGGGCCTCTTTTCGGTGGCGGATACTTCGAAGTGGCCACAGAGGCGCCCGAGACCGGCGGCCTGAACTGAGAGAGACAGAACGGAGGTTTGAGGGAGGTTTTTGTCTGGGATTCCCGGTGCGCCGCGCACCTCTGCTTCGGCTTCGGCATCTTCTTGGGCTTCGGGGGCCCCTTGTTCAGGATGGCCAGGTACTGCCCTGACGAGAGCCCCCGGAAAGAGAAGTATCGGCCGATTTCTAGGGCTCTAGGGCTCTAGGGGTCAAGCACGGCCTGCAGGTAAAAGGCTCCCAGGCTTGATACAGAAGGGCCCGCATGAGATGGGAGGCCAGCGTGAAACTACAAGCCTAGCTCATCCTCGCTCGAAGAGGAGCTGTCGCCCAGCTCAGGCTTGGCCTTACGTGCATTGATGGAAAGGTTCCTGCAACAACACCAACTTGTTTGCTGCTGCATACTAGATCTTTCAAAGCAAGCATCACAGGTTTCATCCGCACAGACACTGTGAGCGATGGCCTCAAAAAGGCCATCCTCACATCCCAGGCTAGAAATTCAAGCTTTCAATTGCAAACGTCCCTGGAACTATCTGGAACCGAATGCCGAGGCCCCTGACGGCCGGCAGGCTCGTCGCTGAAGTGCTTTGGGAAGCCACTGGGCGGAAGGCCGAGGTATGGGCGTTCAATCAAGCTTCGGCGAGGATTTGAAAGGCAGCTTCCGCGAAGAGAAAAAGCGAAAGGGGGCTTCGAGGCTCGCAAACGTTCTGAAACCAAAGCCCAGCTCGTGAGTCGAGGCCCTGGCGACTGGGTGTGGACGGTGCGGACACTGGCTCGCAGTCTCCATCGTCCCAGCTTGCCCATCGATCTGTCGAGACAAGCTGCAAATCAGCTGCATCCACATATGTGTGTGCAGGTGATTCTACACACACGCACACGCAGACGCAGACACAGACACGGACACATACACACACACACACTCTCTCTATCTATCTATCTATC